CTATTGTGCAAAAATGCTCAATAGTTCTTCAGGTATTTCTTGGCAATTTGTACATATTCTGAAAAATGTGTGTTCCTTTCACATACTTATTGGTTTTACATGTTAGCTGTCAGGGAGTAATAGGCAGAATTTCTCTCATTCTGTAGTTTATTTCTTCATCCTTTTGGTTTAACTTTTTTGTGGCTTCTATGCTTATGCAGGAGGATTAAAATCTTACAAAGTCCTTTTTGCTTGTTTTGTCACCCTATCTTATTTTCTACACAAAACAGCAGCAATAGCATTAAGAAAAAATGTTTTTAATACCTCTACATTCAGAACATGGAATGTCTGGCTCTTTCATGTTTCACTAAGTTTTACTCCAATAGAGGCATATTTGAGACTGCTGCACAAATTACCAAAATGTACACTTCCTGAGTAAAGAAAAATCACAATTTGCAGTAGTGATTCTTTTACCTTGTCGTACATTTATATTCTTGACCTCAACGTACTTGTTTCCTTAAACTTCAAATGCAGGCATGAAAACAACTGTTTCACACGCTGCTAAACCATCTAGCAATTGCCTCCCAAAGTCAGCTTTAAAGCCATTATCATCCCATCTCATTCTCCCATGATGCTTGAACTAAAGAAATCATCTTTAGCCTAATCTTTATAGGTATCTCCTTACCAATGCAATTATTTAAATACAAAATGATCAAAAATTGCACACTTTTTGTTAGTTTTTATAAAATAACAAGGAATATAAAAGTGACAATTCTATGTATTCAATAGAAGAATGAATGGTTTAAATTGACAATTGCCCAAATGATGCTCAGGATGGTCACTGCATACACAAATGTGTTTCCCAAGTGATTTTCTGGGATAACTGCCAGGTGGCCAACTGATAAAGGACAACTACTGAGGTGCAATTGTGAGAATTAAAAAATGTTGATGCTGGGGAAGAAAGGGAGGAGATCTAAATCATTAAGCTACATCTGCAGAGCTTGAAGATATATTTTGAGACAAGGTCACTCTAATTGTGTAGGTGAGACTCAACTTCCTCTTCCACTAATTTAAGCCTGCTGAGGTGCTAGGATTACAAGCATGCATCAACAGGACCAGCAAGATTTACTTTCATGGTAAAATGAGAAAGTGCATGTACTCAGGATATATGTCTTATAGATTCAGTATTCTATGATTAGCTGTAATACAAACTCCAAATATTCCCATTGATGGTAAGCAGAAATGTGCTGCAGGGAATCTGGCCACATGCTGTAGTGCATAGAGGCCGACAATGTACTTCACAGTGTCTTTTACTTTGTGAAGTATATCAGGTTCTTCAGGTACAAAATAGATACAATTTTAGTGGTGATTACATAAGAGGTGAGTAACTTATTTTCCCAAGGATAATTGAGACTTGGGCAAACTATCTTCACTGGATTAGGGCTATTTAATGCAATGTTCATTTGTGTTTTCATAACACCACAGTTTTTAACAACATAATTCCTAAGCAGATTTTGTACTCAACAACATGGCATTAAACACGTTACAAATTACATAAATGTTAAAATGGAAGTTAAAACCACAGGCCACAGGAAACCAATTGGGACTCATGTCCAGTGTATGTGTTTTAAGATAATCAGTACACACCACAAACATCATGCACTGGTCCTTATAAATAAAGTGATATGCCATTGTATAAATTCACAATTCAGTAAAACAGAACACAATCTGAATCTTTATTTAGCAAGTTTACTTTTTACTGTGTCGACAGCTCAAAATTTAGGTTTCCCTTCATGCCATTACTTCAGTATTTTAGGAAAAGACATTAATAATTACAAACTATATAATGCAGTCACAGCATCAAGGAATAAAATAAAGGCATTTGCATGATACATCCAATAACAACATTTTCCCCCAAAACAACTCCATATTTAAGAAAAATTGATTTCACAGTATGGTTACTCATAATTCATGCCAAATTTTATAATTTCTGGAGATGTTGATATATATATATATATATATATTGTGATGTGCTATTGGAGACAAGTTATAATTCTGTCAGTATGGCACAATCAGAAATTCACAGTAGTACGGTTTACATTTGTTACATGTGGGGAAACCTTACTAGCAAATAAAGATGTAATATAAACATAACAAGTAAAATTCTGATGGTTAGAAAAACAAAGGTTTACTTAAATGACAAATATTGGCTCCACTGAGAAACAAAATCAGGCAACATAGTTTACATGGTATGATATCCAATGATATTAGGAAATCAGTAGATGTCTTTCACAACTTGGAAAACATAAAATTCATTAATGTACAAGTTATGTGAAAAGAACACAACTTTGTCAAAAACACATACTCCAAGCCTCTACAAATGTATATCTTAATGCCAAATATTGCCTGAACTTCAGAAACATCATTTATGAAAGAGAACATGAAGCATGTGCATAAAAAGATTAAAACAATGCTATGTTAATATTGCAATTCCCAAAAAAATAAGAGACTAGACTAATATCACTCTGAACAGTGAATAACAGTATTGCTGAATTTTATATCATAATGCTACAGAATTAGCATTGGGTTTCTTAGTGTCACTTCTTCAGAGTATCTGCTCATTACATTATGCATTATATTATTTGTTCAAATAAATAGGTTAGAAATTCTTCCGATGTGTGAATCTCTATGTGTATATCTATCCTTTCTGTGTTATGGGGGAAAACAGATCAAAACAAGACAACAAAACAAATTCCTAGAAAATCACGATATGAAAGAGACATATAAGACCACAATATTAGGTGATATACAGTACTTACTATGCTTTCTCTTGTTATTTTCAATAGAATTGACCACATCATCAGGGACTATACAATTAAGCATAACATTATATAGCTATATTTATAAAAACACAACTTTGAAGACGTTGTACGATGTGAAAGCAGTTAATAATCAAAACTGATGTAGAACCTGTGGTTTCCTGCGAGGACCAGCAAGTCAAGCCAATAAGGATCAGAAGGGATAAAGAAGGTCACTACATACTGGTTAGGGGAAAACTGCAAGAGGAAGAGAAAACTATCTTAAATTTATATGCACCAAACTCCAGAGCACCCAATTATATAAAACAAGTCCTTACAAAAATGAAAAATCAAATTAACAGTAGCACAATTCTAAGAGGAGATCTTAAGACATCACTGACACCAATGAACAGATCAACCAGACAGAAAATGAGCAAAGGAATAAAAGAATTGAATCACACCTGTGAATAAATGGATTTAATAGACATATACAGAGTACTCTACCCAACAACAACAGAATACACATTCTTCTCAGTATTACATGGGTCATTCCCTAAAATAGACCATATATTAATTCACAGAGTATATTTAAATAAATGCAAAGGGTTGAAATTATCCCTTGCATGCTACCAGACCATACCACTATGAAATTAGAAATTAATGATAAAAGATACTGCAAAATTCCCACAAGCACATGGAAACTGAATAACACTCTTGAGTAATCAGTGATTCACAGAGGAAATTAAAGAAGAAATTAAACGATACCTACAAACTAATGGAAGCACAGATACAACATACCACAATCTGTGTGATGCAATGAAAGCTGTCCTCTGAAGAAAATTTATTGCACGAGTTCCCACATTAGGAAAACAGAACGAATACAAATAAATTACCTGATATTATACCTCAAAAATCTAGAAAAAGAGGAGCAAGTCAAGCCCAAAGCCAAAAGTAAAGAACAAATTATAAACATCAGAGCAGAAATCAATGCAATAGAGAATAAAAAAAAATCCAAAAAATCAATGAATCAAAGACCTGATTCTTTGAAAGAATAAATAAAATCGAAAAGCCCCTAGCCAACCTTATTTTAAAAATGGAAGAAGTTCAAATCCATGCAATAAGGAATAAAAGAGGCGAAATTACTACAGACCCTATTGAAATACAGAAGATCATCAACACCTATTTCAAAAACCTCTACTTTCAAAGGTTTTATAACACAGAAGAAATAGACAGATTACTAAAGCATATGAAGTACCAAAGCTAGGTCATGAAGATGTAAAAATACTGAATAACCCAAATTCTATTAATGAAATTGAAAACATAATAAAATCGTTACCTACAAAGAAGAGCCCAGGCCCAGACAGATTCACTGAAGAATTCTACAAGAAATATAAAGAAGACCTAATGCCAACACTCTGCAAAGTCTTCAATGAAATGGAAAGGGAAGCAATCCTTCATAAATTGTTCCTAGAAGTAAATATTGCTCTAGTACAAAAACCAGAGGGGGACCCAACAGAAAAAGAGATCTACAGACCAATCTCCCTAATGAACAAGGATGCAAAAATCCTCAATAAAATATTGGCAAACAGGATGCAGCAAATCAACAAGAAGATCATATATCATGACCAAGGGGATTCATCCCAGGCATGCAGAGATTGTTTAATATAAGTAAATCAATAAATGTAATACACCATATCAATAGAGCCAAAAGTTATAATCACATGATCATTACTATAGATGCAGAAAAAGCTTTTGATAAGGTCCAACATTCATTTATGATAAGAACCTTGCAGAAAATTGGAATAGATTGTCCTTACCTCAATATAATTAAGGCCGGCAATGACAAAACAACAGCCAGTACCATACTAAATGTTCAAAAACTGAACGCCTTTACTTTAAAATCATGCACAAGACAAGGATGTCCCTTATCACAGCTCCTATTGAATATAGTATTGGAAATACTGGGCAGAGCAATTAGAAAACAGAGAGAAATAAAATGCATAAAGATAGGAAAAGAAGTTAAATTATCATTATTTGCAGATGACATGATACTTTATATAGAAGATCCCCCAAGCTCCATTGAAAGACTCCTAGATGTAATAAATAAATTCAGTAATGTAGCTGGATACAGAATCATTACTCAAAAATCTGTAGCATTCCTATACCCTAACCCTAACCCTAACCCTAACCCTAACCCAAAACTTTTATACAGATGCAATGCAATCCTGATAAAAAATAGCATCAACATACCTCATAGAACTTGAGAAATCACCCCTAAAATTCATCTGCAGTCAGAAGAAACCTAGAATAGCAACGACAGTTAGAGGCAGCAAAAGCAAGGCAGGAGGTACCACAATCCCTGACTTGAAGTTATAATACAAAGCAACTGTAGTAAAATCAACATGGTACTGGAACCAAAACAGAGCTGAAGATCAGTGGAATAGATGAGAAGATACAATCACCACTACAAACACACCCAACTACCTTATCTTTGATAAAGGGGCCAAATATATTCACTGGAAGAATGACATTCTCTTTAATAAATGGTGGTGAGAAACTGGCTCTCCATATGCCTAAAACAAAAACTAGACCCATGCCTATCACCATGTACTAAAATAAAATCTAAATGGATCAAAGATCTAAATATTAAAACAGAAACACTAAATCTATTGGAAGACAAATTGGGTAAAAACCTTGAAGACATAGGAGTAGGTAGAGAATTGATGTACAGGACTCAAACCACATGGGAAATGCTTTCCAGAATCAATAATTGGGATCACCTCTTATTAAAAAGTTTCTGCACATCAAAATAAATCTCCAGTATAGTGAAAAGAAAACCCACAAGCTGGGAAAAATCTTAGTGAACTGCCCCTCAGACAGAGGACTTCTGTCTAAAACATATAAAGAATTTTTAAAAATGAGACCACCAAAATTCAAAGATCCAATCCAAAAATGAGCATCTGAGATGAATAAACAATTTTGAGATGAAGAAATACAAATGAAAAATAAATACATGAAAAAATGTTTACCATCAATGGTCATTAGAGAAATACAAATTAAAACCACACTGAGATTTTGTCTCACTCCTGAAAGAATGGCCAAGATCAAGAAAACCACCAACAACAAATGTTGGAGATGCTGTTGGGACAAAGGAACTCTCCTGCACTGTTGGTGGGAGTATAGACTGGTACAACAATTGTGGAGGTCAGTCTGGAGATTTCTCAGAAAGCTGGGACTGGAAGCACCTTTTGACCCAGCTATTCTATTTCTAGGCATATTCACAGAACTGAAACCATCATTCCACAGTGATATATGTGCACCCATATTAATAGCAGCAGAGTTTGTAATAGCCAGATCTTGGAAACAATCTAAGTGTCCATCAACTGAAGAATGGATAAAAAAAATTATGCTGTTTTTATACAATGGAGTACTACTCAGCTATAAAGAATGATCCCATTGACATATAAATAAATGGACACAGACTGAGACCATACTCAAAAGTGAAATAAATCAAACTCACATGTATAAATACCAAATATATTCCCTAGTATAAGAAATGATAATTCATAGAAGTATGTGGTAATTGTGATACCCAATCATATTGGTTTGAATCCATATAATGTTTTCACTCATTAAGTGCAGTGGTTTTACCCTGGGTTTTTCAATTTTAGTATCGGTGATAGTACAAATAGATATTCTGAAGAAAATAACACATCATAAAAGCTAGTGCTGATTTAATATCATCTTCTTTGGAGCTCCCATCAAGTTGTTGTACGTGTTTCCACTGGTTTTAACATGTTGTATCTTAATATATTTTACTGTGATATATAAATAAAATTTTTTACAGGCAAAGAGATAATATAGAAATTGTTCTTCATTTTCTGTTAACTGGTTCTAAATACTGTAATTCTTTCATTCTCTTGAATGGCTTCACACTGTCTTGATGAGATTGATTCTATAGTATACGAAGTTATACTCAAATAATTCAAGGAAAGAGGCACTATGATGACTACTATTATATTAGATTACCTTGTGGTGAAACAAAATGATGCTTTAATTGTTCAGTTCTGACCTGTGTTGTTCTATTACAATGTCTCTTTTATCTAGATCTCCAACCTTTTAAAAATTATTCTATTTTTTTCTTATTATTTTTCAATTAAAGGAAAACTAAATTAAAAAATAGCAGGATATATTATAGTAACTTTTTTTGTTTTCCTATTAACCTGATTTTAACCCCAGTATTGCTCTCCCCATCTTGTTCTGCCTGATTTTACTATATTCTATTTTGTTTTAATAGTATCAAGTTTGAGGGTATAGGCAACCACTTTGTAGGCAATAAGATTTACTATGTTGCCCATTATGGTTTGACTGTTATCTTCTTTTGAAATTCTGTAAGGTCTCCAGTGTAGATTTTATTGGTCTTGTTCTGTACTGTTTTGATCAATTCTATTATACCTGATGATATAGCAACTCTTTCTAAAAATAGCAAGAGGTACAATGGTAACCATTTTTGATCACCTGGTATTCTATTTTTGCATCAAGTACTATGCCCATCCTTATGTTCTAACCAACTCTGTTTTATAAACTCACTTGAGATTTTATTCCCTTCAAAAAAAAGTAATAAGAACTATGGGAGTAAAAAAAAACCCAAAAGTGTATTTGTTATTGTGAAGAAGAGAGGAAACGAAGGTGGTCTAAGGGATGTAAACGCCTATTTGAGTGTGTAGGAAGGAAAACTATATTACTGAGCTTTTGTTGGATCATTGAACAGAACTGTCTGCAATCTCGCTGTAGGAATGTTCACTTTATATGCTTTAATTTTATAATTTGGACAACTGTTTCTAAGAAGACAATATGTAACCTATTAACTAGTGATTTCTTACTGTATTTTTTTCTTTAAATTCTGTATTATTTGTACCCTTTTACTGCTTTGTTCTTTTATGTTCTTTTTTTCTCCTTAAATAAAAAAATTAAACCTGGAATTTATATCTTTTATTTATTTATTTTTTGGTACTGGGGATCAAACTGATGACCTCACACTTGCCTGGCAGGGGCTTAAGCCACGGAGCTAAATCCCCAGCCCCCCAATATATATCTTTCACATCTTATCATCTTCAGAGTAGTTGCCTCTACTCTTGGACTTGATACCAGCAAGCATACCAAATGTGAATAAAATCAGTCAAGGCCAAATAACATTCAAACAAACCAGCTTCAAATAAGATCAGTCATAGTAAGACAATGTAAGTAATACAGGGTTTCAGTTTTAGTTATTAGAAATTAAGGACAATTTCTATCATGGTGAAACCTGCCATTTTGGTTCATCTCTCTGTGCCCTCAAATCTAAAATGAGTAGACAGACCAGAACAAAATATAATCAAACTAAACAGAGCAACAGAACTATTGTAGCATTTAAATCCTGATACACTTTTAACAACGTGCTCTGCCTTCTTTATGTAGGCAATTACTCACCTTTCTCCTTCTCAGGATACTATTATTCACTGTTCAGAGTGATATTAGTTTAGTCTCTTATGTTGAGTTTTGCATAAATAAAAATAAAGACGTCTACTACGAAGAGAATGACACACATTATGGTAATCATTATCAACTTCCCCAAAATCAGTCTTGAAGATCAAAAAAGCCTGCATCATCCTGTAATTATTTGATTAGTTCTATAATGTTCAGTATATATTCAATGCATGTGAAAATAGGAACAACTATTCTGAAGAAAACTAGAGACAGTAAGATAGAAAATGAAAATCTCAGTGGACATGCTTTGAAACCTGTGTTTCCTTGTTTCCTTATGAACTGTTCTGTTTTGTCGTGTTTAATCTTACTGTCTTTAAGATAAAAAACAAGTTTGTAGAACAGATAAGCATATTAATAAGTTTTTGTTGGATCACTGAGGTGAACCGTTCAGTGTTATTTGTCTATCACTTTGTATGTTTTAATTTTGTAACTTGAACAATTACTTCTAAGATGACAATATGTAACTAATCAACTAGTGATTTCTTATTGTTTATTTTTCAGAACTTCTGTATTATTTCTACACTTTTTGGTTTCTTTAACTAATAATAATTCACCAAAAATATAAAAATTAAGGTTTAAAGACAAAATATTAAGTACATAGACACTATCCATACTTGAAAGTGAAAAGCCCATTTCAGTTTACCGTGTTTAATTACAAGATGCCATGTTGAAGCATAAAGACACTTTAAAAAATCTAAAGAGGTATAAGTGATTAAGTGAAAACCATACAAAATATGTACTTGAGCAGAGCTCCACTTCAGATTTGTCATTTCTGGAACATTTGTGAAGAAATATTGATATCAAACTTTTGTATTGATTATTTCTTCAGGTCTACTTGGAATGTTTAAAGTAAACTTAGATCTAAACTGTCTGAAGAGTGCTGCTTTTTCTATGTATTTAACAACAAACATGGATTGCTGTATTTCTCACACTGTTAATACACATAGGATCCAGTGAGCTCTTTCAGATATGTAACAATGATCATGTGTGCTGAAAGTATTCCCCTAACACATAGGATTTATCTCTTGTGTGAGTTTCTTCACATATTTCACTTAAAATCTGGCTGCTGAAAATGTCTCCACTTGCTTACATAGCCAGTGGTTCATCCCAGTGTGAATTGTTTCATGTGTTTTGCAATGACTGTATGTGGTAAAAGCTTTTCCACATTGCTATATACATAGGGTTTCTCACCATTGTGGAATCACTGATGTATTTTACAAAATCCATATGTGGTGAAAGTTTTCCCACATTCTTCACATAAACAGGGTTTCTCAACAGTGTAAATTTTTTCATGTATTGGACAATGAGCATTTCTGCTGAAACCTTTCCCAACATTCCTTACATATATAAGTTTTCTGCCCAGTCTGAAGTTTTTCATGCATTATGCAATATGTACTTGCGCTCAAAAAATTTTCATGATGCTTATACACACTGGTTTTATCTTGAGTGTGAACTTTCATGTCACTTACAGTGTCCATGTCGGGTAAAAGCTTTCCTACATTGCTTACATACATATGTTTTCTCTCCAGTGTGAATTCTTTCATGTTGCTTACAATGTCCATGTCGGGTAAAACATTTCCCACATTTCTTACATACATATGGTTTCTCTCCAGTGTGAATTCTTTCATGTTGCTTACAATGTCCAGATTTGGTGAACCCTTTTCCACATTGCTGACATACATAGGGTTTCTCTCCACTGCAATATTTTTCATGGACCTGAACATTGTGGTGTGTTTCTGCTTCTTTCACATTCACATTACCTTCTGCAGTACAAGGGAATACTTCTTTACACTGAATCCAAGATGTATGTCCATAGGATTTCCCTAGCTTTTCATTTCTGTAAAAAAAAAATCACATATAGGATTGATAACCATATTACAAAGTTTTTATTGAAGAGTTGAACAAAACTGTTTGCAGTCTCACTGTTTGAATCCCCACTTCATGTGTTTCACTTTTGTGTTTCTTTAACTATTTCTATGAGCAGCATATGTAATCATTGTCTTTAGATTTCTTACTGTTTATTTTCACTTTGAAAGTGGTATAATTTCTACTGATTTTTTTAGTCTTTCCTTACATTAAATAAAAAAAAGAAAAATTCACAGAGAAATGGGTCTCAGTTTAATGACTGCATTAATGTCAAGTTCTGTTTTTAATGCCTGCTAAGAAATTGTGACCATGAAGTAACAGAATGGCCTTGTAAGACATGTTGAAAACAACCATTCCCAAAAGACTGGTACACATTTGGAAATCTTAAAATTTGGTAGCTTTTGAAATGTAGAATCTTTAGCTTCACTTTGGACATGGGTACATATGTGTATCACATACAGATCATTCTGATATGTTTCCCCATCACAATCTCCCTTCTGTCCTTAACCTTTTCCATATGATAAGTCTTACTTTTCTCTATTAACTCTCTTTCATTTAATTCCACAATTTATATTTTGGTTTCTCATCTAAAAGAAACCCTGTGACATTTTAGGTTTTATAGCTGAGCTATTTCACGGAATTGATGGTAGAAAGAACCACCTATTTCTTATGGCAAATGACATTATATTCTTTATTTTTGACATTATATAACACATTTTTTAAATTTTCCTTGCTGGGAATGAAGAACAGCTATTAGCATAAAATCTATAGCTTATTTAATCTGTTTTAAGAGATTTTCGCTGATCATTAAGCTGTGAAGTTTGAACTTGCATTTTCCATTCTGCAAAATCTGCTTCCTAGTGTGCTGGATTTACAAGAATGCACAATCACAGAGAGTCTATTAACATTTTCCTTCTCCACAAATCCAGTAATAGATAGCTAAGCTTCTTCAAGCCCTGATCTATTATAACTTGATCTGCTTTGTATATGAGTAAGCATGTATCAGTGTTTTATGTGGATTTTGAATTTTTAAAAATATATCCAGGACAAGTATGAGGGGATAAAGTTCTAGAGACAACTGCACACTGATATTCAGAATGAGTGCACTTAACATTCTACCAGCCTGCTAAGAATTTTAGTCAGGATGGCTGATTCTTTAGAGCATGGCTTGGAAACACAAGCACTCTGTTTTATTTCAAATTCTATTGCAATGTTAGCATTTTTTAGATAATGAATATGTTATATTCACATGTATATATGGGTAGAAAAACTGAAGGGAGAATGTCATAACTCAAAGTGTATGGCTTTCATACACATCTATATGCAATGTCATACATTTTCATGATTAAACTCCCTCATTATACATACCCTAGCTTATACGTCTTCAGAGAATATTACTGACAATAAATTGAATGGTGCCTCATTTGTTTGGTGGTCATTTTTCTGCTGACTCACTAATTACTCAGTAACATTCCTTCTCCTTGTGAGTGCGAATTACCTTAAGTATCTCCAGTAAATTTTGCATTCTTTTTCAGCTTCCTGGATATTCCCAAGTCCTCCTGAATTGTAGACATAGAAATACCAGCACTCATTAGAATAATACATACAAATTAATAGATTTTGTTTAGAGTTATGATATAATGTGTCCAGGTTTGAGCTATTTTTAAAAATATTTTCACGTTGTTCTTAATGAAATAGCACTAATAAGTGACATACAACATTCTGACAGCATGAGTGACAAAAGTATTTTGTCCTTACCAATTGCAGTCATGTTCCTAAAGGTTTCGCCCATCACATCTCTGTAGAGGTTCTTTTGGGATGGACTCAGCAAAGTCCACTCCTCATTGCTGAAGTTCACAACCACATCCTCAAAGGTCACCACCTCCTAAAGGATCATACATATATTTCTCACACGATGGTTGAGACACCAGGTTTGGGATATCTTAAATTCTCTCCTACAAATCTGAATCAAAAGCAAAGTGTGGTGGTATATATCTATAATGCCAGCATTCAAAAGGCTGAGGCAGGATGGTTTCAGTGAGTTCAGGGCAATTCTAGGCTCCATAGGGTGTTCAAATCCAGCTGATATACATATAGAAAGCTTGTCTCAATAAAACAAAACAAAAGTAAACAAATACAACCAAACAAACAGCTGAATGAAGACTGATTTCTTCAAATTTAAATCCATGTCTTGGTCATTAATTTTGTGTATATACACATTTTTGAAGACAGGAAATTTGATGCTAGATTCCAACTCACTGCTAATGTAACAGTGAAACAGGAGCACTAATTCTTGTGCTGAGTCACTGCAATATTCCCTGTATACTGTCTCTAAAGCAGAGCTCACAGTGAGAAGCCTGCAGGACCAGCATCCACAAAGCACAGAGGCAGATAAATATCCCATCAATCAACTTGGAACCCAAGCAAGCACCTCCCTTCCCTGATAAGTAGTGGCAATGTGGTAGACTGTGGCCCATCCAGGGGGCAAACCAGCAGCAGCTCCTGAGATCCATGCCGTGCTGGAATTTAGGACACTTGGAAGGCAACCAAGCACCATTGTTCCCTGATAAGCGGTGGCAGTCTGGCAGAATGTGGCCCTTCCAGGCTGGAGAACCAGCAGCAGCTCCTGAGATCCACACCATGTGGGAACTTAGGATGCCGTGAAACTAAACAAACAGCCTGTCTCCCTACACGCAATAGTGAACCTACTGATGCATGGCCTAGAATCAAACATTCCTCTTCCCTACCCCACTTCTCCTGTCAGCCCCCGTTAGCAAATGGGAACCAGAAATCTGAGCGTCTCCTGGGAAGCAGACCATTGCAAGTAAGGGGGACTTCCTTGTCCTATCTCTTTGAAGGCAAATATTTTTATTACTGTTTTGCTCTATTCTGATTAATGGCATTGCTCTATTCAATATTCTGTTTTGATAAGTACTATAATGTTCTGTATTTCATCTCATTTTGATATACATGTTTGAAAGAACAACTATTATAAAGATAATAAAATATGCTGTGATACCTATTACTGTTATCCCAGTAACCTGTTGTGAAGTTGTGTACCAATTTCACTGTATGATCTTATTTGGCCTTATTCTGCCTTGTTCTGTTGTAATTTACCACTTTCAAAATTTAAAAAAAGAAAAAAAATCTCATCAATCACTTTGATAGGCTACAGTTAATGTCTCTTCAAATCTCATGTAGGCCAGTGAGTACTTTGTTCTTAATATACGTCAGCAACATTTTGAAACATGAATTTGGTTTCATAGAACAAAACATAAAGAACATCCAATATGGTACACAAATATTAGCTCAAATGTTAGCGGAAAATACTGTTTTTTAAAAAATAAGTATATAAAATGGAACCAAGCCCAAGCTGTAATTTATAGCTCACTGTCACCAAGTGATCACTTTCAATTCAGATATAAGAAATATATCTTGGGAGGCTGGTGAAGGAGTTCTTCCTTGAATTTGGGGCTGTCCTAAGTTACAGAGCTGTATAAAATAGAGAAACCCTGACTGAGACACCCCACAGACAAAGTGAAACTTGAAAAGAGAATGCATAAGACACCTCTGGTTTGTTTTTAAAAATTATAGCCATACAATCCCCAAAAATGCCAATAATGTTCAACACTTTCTGAGAAACAATGTGGATATCTTGCATACTACACAGAAAACACTTTCATAGTTGGGTATTTAGCTCAGTGGCATGACCGACTTCCTGGAAAGCATAGGTCATGAGTTTGATCCTAGGTACAAAAAAAAAAATCCAAATTTTACCTTCATGACACTGGAGCATAATTAGAGATAATCCAAATTAGATCTTAAGTATGGAACAAAAAATACATTGGTTGACAAGGATGTGAAATACTGATTGTTGCCAGAGCTGGTGTTGATCACCTCAAGGAAGCAATCAGAACCCAACTTTAACTTCATACTTACTCTAAGAACTACCTGAATTTCAGTGAAGAACCTCTCTGTTGTATGTCCTGCTATAGGCTTCCTGCATCCTGTCAGTCACTTGCACATCCTTTCCATGCTCCTCTGATCCATCCTCAGCAGGAAACCCTTCATGCCAAACTATTGTTATCACTGCAAAATTTCTATTTAGAGCATCTCCTTTACACCACTTAGTAAAGTCCATTGCAGAGCATTTCCATATTTAAACTGTCTATGAACAACCAAACTACTAAATCAGCTCTTAATTCAGATGACACCCCTATTCCTTTCTGTTTAGAATGATATGATGTGTATATGTCCCTGCAAATGCCTAAATTTTGGCATTTTTTGATGAGAATTTAACAGGTAGCCCTTTCTGGAATTTGTCCTTAACAAATTTTTACCCTGTCCTTGATAACACTTTCATATTTGCTTCATTTTTCTCAAACTTCAAAACTCTATGGCTGTGCTCACAAACCTAGTCTGTGATCAGGGGTGCCACATAAATAATTAAGTATGTTAAGAAATTATTTTGCACTGATCTGTATAATACACAGGAGTTTACCAGGTGTTTGGGAAGCCTTCTTCTACTGAGGCACATTACTACACATCTCTGAATTCTCAGGACCTTTGCCACTACCTGTCATGAGGATGGAAATATGAGAACATACTATAAATATAGGAGACCACTATAAATACAAAAAAGCCAAAATTTAAGTTGAGCCATTGTGACTATAAGGCCCTGCATTACAGGCATTAATGAACTTTGGACATTCCAGATCAGCTACTCTGAGGAAAGAGAGCAGAGATGTAGATCATTACTGCTCTACAAACTAAAAAAAGCATCATAGTCAGGGTCTTCCCAAGGTCCTTCCAATGCCTAAGATTGTGGAGTTACCAGGCCTGCAGTGAATTTCAAAGATGATACTTGAGTCTGTTGCTGTCATAGTGAAGCCAGGGTTCTGGGAACTCCAAATCACCCTTGCCAACAGCAAGAGGCAAAAGGGACAGTGAGTTACCCATGGCCAATGCTTGAGGACCTCAGGAGCTGAAGCTAACTAAATACCTGAGTCTGCAGACACCGGAACTACTCCTATATACTTGTAACTGGTTTCACCCAATCCACCCTATCTCTGGGCTCCCATCCACAACCTCACCATTCCATGGCTCCAAGATCTCTCAGGTTCTTTGCTAATCAGGCCACAGGACATCAAAAGTACTAAATGAGATCCAGAAAGCATTTTGCTACCAGTATTGTACTTAGAACAGGTAAATCATGATGAGACATCAGAAGAGACAGAAGTCACAGCCAGCAATGGCCCGTCTGATTGGACAGTTCATATAGCCTGCCCCTTCATCACTGATTGACTCCTGCTCTACTGCTCTCCTTCTGAGTCAAGAATAAACACGGAAAAGAACCCTTCCCTGCAAGAGAGGATTCTAAATGATAGACTGTAGTGCAGAAGCTTCTGGAGCTGTCATTCTTCTACAGTGGTGAACTCACCTGGACAGAGGAGTGTTTGTACTGAAGAGCTTTACCTCAGGCTTTTAATTTTCAAATCCATTTGATTTCAAGGAAAAAAGAACACATCAACTAAATTTAAACTTCAAAACATGTTAATCAGGGGGCAACACTGGTATATACATTGCACATTGACATCCCCAGATCATTCACATAGAGCACAAGACATCTGTAATCATTTTTCCAAACAGCACTGTTACAGGGACCTGAGTAATTTAAATAGTATTGGCAGGAGACAGGGCTAGGTCCCCCAAGGAGCCCATGCAGGAGTCCAGATAACTTGCAACTATGGGGAAGACTGACACCTCATGCTATGGAACAAGCAAATTTATCCATATCCTAAGGATTGATATTCTAAATAGTTCCCTCGCACTCTGAGGAAGTCAGGAGTCACTATTCAAAGGAATGTATACTGTTAAAGACTGACATTCTATGTAGTTCCTGTCATCCTGATGACCTCAGTAGTCACCCTCCCAAACCCCTAAGGGAAGTCATAGCTGCCTAAGAATGCCTGCTTTCTATGTGACTCCCTTCCCTCTTTGTTCCCAATTTAATCAACTTTACCTGAACTTATAACCTTATTGGCTACCTTAGCTCTGTCCCATCTTATGCCCATCTGCATTGTGAGTTCCTAGTTTTCCTCTCCTTAAACTAATTTCATCACATGATTTTACTATATAAAGATCCCTAGAAAGGACAGTGTTTGGCTACCTGCTCAGGACCCCTTCTCTGTCTCAGGCAGCTTTCTTTCTCTCAATAAGTATAATCTTCTGTTAATTTCTGTTGTTCCTAAAATTCAATCTTTGACTTTACAGAACAAAAACCTCATATCAGACATAGCATACCTGGAGATTGATTTTGCTATGGCAATATCAGTATAAACTTTTCTCTTTCTGGAAGTCAGAGAAATCAGTTGTAGTTTATATTACACAATGTTGAACTCACCTTGCCAGGGATACTTGCATTGAAGGACTTTATCCCTGCCTTTAAGTGCTTCTTCTTTTTCTGAAAGTGAACTGATCTGTAATTTTGGTTATATTATCAACATGCATTAAGGATTTGAATCAAAATATTTCTTATGAATGGCTTATCTCCAGCCATGGAGGAAGACAGATAGCAAAAATTCTTTGTTTTGATTTCTTCATTCAATCCAAAGTATGTACTTGAAAGAGTTTTGCCCTAGAAAAATTACAGGACCTCATAGTGGTAGTTCAAGGTGGAAGAAGGTGAACTCAGGGATGCTTACTCTCATGGCCACTTCCTCTTATCTCCTTGATTACAACTTCCTCTTTCTTTCCCAGGGGCCTAAAGAAAATTCCCATTAGCTCCTAGCATGACATCAATGTCCCCTCCAAGCACCATCCAGTCAAAAGTCACATATACCCCATAACCCCATAGTCAGTCAGAAAAAAATAAAAGCCAAGCCC